ATTCTTGTTTCATCAACTTGCTTGTCATTTACCTCATTTTAGAAATTGATCATGTGTAGAGCATACAAATAAGGAAAGTTGACAATGCAAGAGCTAATTGTTATACAATATATACTAGTCAAAATTTCTAAGTCCCCAGGCAAGTTTTTGCTTTACACCGATTTTATATTAAATTATTATAACAGCATAATTTAATAGGTTTACAGAATAAAAAAGTAGCAATACAACTTTTTCTCACTTAATTTATTTTATTGAAGCACTTTAACACAATATGCAGAAATGTTAAGGCACCCTAGAATTAAAAATTCACAACATTAAATACTGCATTATCCTCCATTCAAACGAATTCATAGCAAGACAATCGTTCCTCAGAGAGTTTACACTACTTCAGAAAAATTATTTTATTGAATGTACTGTTTTTCCATGAGGAGACAAGGTCGTCCTCTAGTTCCGCTAGATTCTGCTGCTGGAACAGCTGTCTCAAACTGCGGTTTATCTTCTTCCATACATGTTAATTAGGGTTGAGATTAGGATGACAAGGGAGCTTACCGAAAGTGCCTGTGCCTTGCTAACAAAGGTTACATAATGTCTTATTACATGTGTACCCCACTCCTCCAGTTTGACATTGAGGAGAGGGCACTTCCGGTTCCATTGATTTTTCCGGGTAAACTCTAGGATTATTTTGTTGTGTTTGTTGAAAATCTAGCGATTTCTAATGATAAGAAGGAATTCATGCATGCTTTGTAGGTTTTTAGGGCGATAATTATAAAGGTTTTAAGTAAAATAAAGTCATACAGTGAAAGGAAACAGAACTCTCGTTAACTACGACCAGCTTTGATCATTTCAACTTCGCTTTCACATTGTTGTGTGGACATACACCGCATTTTAATCAAACTTTTTTCTGTTTTTCGTTATCAATTAAAGATGGAGAACACATGGAAGTAAAAGATATGAAGAATACACCCGAAAACATATGGAACTCGAACTTCCTGCTTTTCAACAAAAACGGTCACGGTCGAGTAATTACACATTCGATTACAATTTTTTTGGCCTTGACATATAAGTATTGCAAATTAAAGGCAAAATCGTAAGTAACTAATACATTGATGTTATGGTTTCGAACTTTTGAAAAAATAAAAGTGGGGACTTAGAAATTTTTACAAGTATAGTTGTGAATTGGCCATTTTCATCTCAAGTCAGTTAAACATCCAAATATGAAACAGATTTGGCAAATTCTGTGGTGTCTTTTATTTCAAGTTCACTGGGTTATATGGAAGAATTTCAATGGCGCTTATTATGATCCTTTGTGTGTCGACTTGTTTTTAAATTTTTATATAGCAGAATTTATTTCAAAACTTCTATAGGAGAAGGAAAAAATCCTTTTTTGTGGCCTCTAAAGGCTGGCTTTAATTAGAGTAACTTAACGGTTTTGCAAATTAGTCGACAGTTCTACTATGGCAATGATTTTTTTCTGCTGCGGAACTACTACAATGTAGTAAAGCGGGCGTTCAGATTTTAGAACGCAGTTCGCTATTCGCAATTCAAAAGTGAACTGCGTTCTAGAACGGAATTCGCAATTCAAAATTTTAACTTTAGCTGTGTTGTCTGAAATTTTGAGGGTGGGGTACTAGGGGTCAGATATATATACCACTTCTATGAAAAAATGATGATCTCTTGTTTCTGAGATATGGCCCTCCAGTTTTTAGCCCCAACTGTACCAATTTTATAAGATTCTATACATTGTATACTCTCTGTATTTACATGTTAAATTCTGGATGTATGAAGAAAACTGTATATACATGTTTTACAATTGTTTTCGGCCAATATATTTTTATTTAAAAATATTTTATAGGTGTAAAGAACAACTGTCCATTTTGTTGGTAACATTATATATTAACTACTTTTGTTTATTGATCAAAACCTTTATTTTGAATAAACAACTTCAATATACATTTGTCTTTTGTCCTTTTTCATGGCATTTTGGGAAAAGAGGAGGCATAAAATACTATACGAATAAATATCGGGCTCAGTGACATCGAAGTCCCCTACCCTGGGGTCTGAAATTTTGAGGGTGGGGTACTAGGGGTGTTACAACGCACTTTGAAAAATTACGCACTTTGAAAAAAAATTTCAAAGTGCTTTAAAATTTGGGACCAAGCTAACGCACTTTGAAAAAAATAATTTTTTTTCAAAGTGCGTTAATATCGACCATATTAACGCACTTTGAAAAAAATGTAAAGATTGATCAATATTCCTTCAAATAATCGGTATGATAAATAACAGATCCTGGTTTGATAACTTTTTAATGATAAAGTCACTGTAGGACCTGAGATATTGACGTTTTAAATATTGAAGGTTGTGATAAAATAAATTAAGGGAAAATTAAAGGGTCTTGGAAAAGAGAGTGACGATTGTTTAATAAGTTCATTAATTCGTTTCTTCTTTTTTTTTTAATTCTAGTCTTTGATAAGTAGATGTAAAGGTGTATAGGGGGCACTAACAGAGGACAGCTTCAAGCAACTTAGCATTTATCATAATAAAAAGGGGCCAATTTGATTGTTCAAAACTATGAAAATTCTTTCTCTCTCATACGTTTTACTGTACTTAAAAATTTCTAGTTTTCATCTGTTTTAATTAACTCATTTATTATTGAAAGTTTTCAACGTCATACCAGTTAGGTAAATATATAATTATATGAATGCTTTGAGTATAGCATAGACATCGAGACTGGGCGAAGGGCCAGGGGAGGGGAGGGGGGCTAAGCCCCCCCCCACTTATTTTGGAAATATATATACATTGTATAAGCATTGAAAATGCAGCGTACCCTTTTTTTAGGTTTATTGCTCCCCTCCTCCGTTTGTTACCGACACCTATGCATTGGAAAGATAAAGATTTGGACTTAGGGATCTTATACCCGTCTTCTCCTCTTTTCGACGGGAGTAAAATCAATTCATTTTTGAGGTTAGGGTTAGGTTTAGTTTTCTGAAAGATAAATAACAAATAAAATCTTTCCATGACTAAATATGATTTTTTTTCAAAGTCCGTTAAGTGTCTCCATGGTAAAATATATTGATGTAGACTCTTAACGCACTTTAAAAAATTTTTCAAAGTGCATTGAGTTGGTCCCAAATTTAACACACTTTGAAAAAAATTTTCAAAGTGCGTTGATTTTGCCCCAATTTTAACGCACTTTGAAAAATTTTTTCAAAGTGCGTTGCCACAAAGCTCTCATCCGTATGTATCAGCATATAAAGCTGAAAAAAAACATTATGAATGGTTTCTTTGAAATTGACATAAACACATTTGATAAAAGTAAGGTCCAGGTCAAATGAAATGTTAAGGTCAAAATGTTGATGTAGTTGAAATGTTTACATCAGTATGCATCATCAGCATATTAAGTTTGAGGCTAATTTCGGAAAAGTGAGGTCAAAGGAAAGGTACCATCGCCATTTTTTCATAGAAGTGGTATCTGACCCCTAGTACCCCACCCTCAAAATTTCAGACCACAAAGCTTATGTTAAAATTTTGAATTGCGAACTGCGTTCTAGAACGCAGTTCACTTTTGAATTGCAAATTGCGAACTGCGTTCTAAAATCTGAACGCCAGTAAAGCGCTGATATTTTTAACTGTGGTGCTATGGAATTTAACTGTGACAGACTTTTTTCTGAAATTGAAATTGGTCTACTGTAGTACATATCAATTATTTCACCAGTGACATGTCGCTACAATATTCATAAAACATCACATGGCGAAATTTTGAATTAAATTTGAGGGATGTTACTGTTTCATTGCTAAGTATAGATGACCCATGCGTACAGTAAAGTCAAGAACGGCAAAATTTGCACCGAGAAAAACAAAAAAAAAATGTGTGGGCAACAACATGACCGTGAGAGACTTAATTTTCTTTCTGCTGGGGATTGTCTGCACGAAACTAGGACCAAGATCTTGAAAATGGCATATCATAAAGCTTTGCAAGAATGGAAGGATTGATATTGTTGATAATTAACCTCTGTGATACGCCAATACCCAGCTCATATCACATGAACGATTTTGCGTAATTTCTATATACCTGATTGCTTTACCACGTAGACATTGATTTCAAGATTTCACTAAAATCTTAATTCATTGAGATCTTGAATCAATGTCTACTCAATTCCAAGGTTACGAATTAGGTTGTCACGTACGTCGACTAACGTCAAAATAATTTGCTCCTTGAATCCTAAGACCGCAAAGTGAAATCAATACATGTATATTTTCAAAAATGTATAGTAAATGGACTCTGACTGACTTTAAAAAAAATAATAGGCAAGATATGGAAATTTCATCATATATCTCATTCATCAAACAAGTACAAATAAATTTATCTTAAAATTTTCTAACAACCCTCGTATATCAAGTATATGCTAGCTATCGAAAGTGACTGTCTCTCAAATTTTATAAGTCATGTTTAGAATTAACCGATTAAAATATTTTTGCACAAAAAGATTCAAGGTCGAGATCAAGTGAACTGTCAAGATAGTTTACCTGTTTGTTTTTAAATAGCTTAAATATCTTATTATACAAACAGTGTATAACTAGGTAGCTAGCTTAGACTTCCTTGTTAAATGTAAGCTGTATGTTAATAATAAAGCTGTATTTATGCTCTAAAAACTATTTTGAAAAGAAATTAAAAATGGCATGATGTTAAAGCATACGGTGACAAGCAATTTGACAATTTATGAGCAAAACACTATATTTCAATATCTCTTAAAGATTTGGAAATATAAAATGTGACGGACGGACGGAGAGACGGATAATTACTGGGTGGGTGGAGTGTCTTGAAGAGTGCTCTGCTCTGCAGACGATATGGAGATCCCATGTCAAAATTTATTAACTGTTTTGGTATTAATTTTTTTTAAAATCAAATACCAATTTAAAAATCATTAAATTGTGAATTTTTTTATTTCAATATCCTCATAATATATACGAATATAATCTGAAGAAATTATTTTAAACCATACCTGACTTAAATGAAATCCTTGGTGACCACGCCTGAATCCTTAACTATGTTCCTTTTCCATATTTAGCATCCTATACCTGTAGATCTAGTCTGTCTGAAATAAGATATGTATGACTGATCTACCCAGTAAATCAGGGAATGTAAACTCTAATCACGTGACAAATAATCCAAAAGCACGTATGTTTTTAACAATTTTAACAACTACGGCGCATTTATGATTATCATTGTCACTTTGAACTCTTAAACAGCGAAGGTTATTGCGAAAGAAAGTGGATTGGCATTAGGCAGGAATCAATCGCAACATCTCGGGTCTCTCCGTCAATGGTCGGAAAAACAGGTCCAGGAAGTTGCGATTGAGGCAGGAATCACTGACACGAAACAATTCAAGTTTAAATGTACAAGCACCGCGTTGTACTTTTACATAACCTAGATACTTTAATCGTATTTTATTTGAACCGGAGACATTACATCTATGGGAATAGATTTCTAGATTACTGTTTGTTTGTTTGTTTATTTGATTTTAATTGTTTCAATTAAAGGCGTCTCGAACGATAAATTGTCTATGCTGGATACATTTAATAAAATATAATAAAAGAATAACACTAAATGAAGAGCTTGCTGCCTTACCGAGGATTCGGCCGACTCAAGTATTTAAAAGAAAATCACCGGTTTCTGTTTATAGATACATGTACCTTTTCAATTCAAAATCAAACTACATGTATGTAATCATTTGTGGACCACTGTTATATTTTTATAGCTGCAAGTTTGTTACATGACAATAATTTACTTGTTCAATACTCTTATTCTAAACAAGATTGTTAGAAATTTTTTAAAAAATAAAACAAGCTAGCAGCTACATGTATCATGACTTTGGGTCATTAAAATAGTTTAAGACTGATTTTTCCCGAGATGCTTTCAAGGTGTAATAGTGTTTTATATGTCTCTTACATTATTTATACATGTATAATAAAATAATAAAAGAAAACATGGGAAACATGCACATAGAAAAAAAAAATAAAATCATAGTCAAGAAACACATACTGTGAGACTCGAACTCTCGTTCATGATGTTTTCAGCAATCATACCACTACGCCTTGAAGTCGTGACATGTAAAGGGATAAATTTAAGACAGATTGTTGAATCTTTAAATAATTTTAGAAGAAAAATTGAATACATATTTTTCAACAATTTCAATATGAAGACCACATTTAACCAAAATTATCTAAATGTAATGAAGTGAAGTCATATCCAATTAAAATTATTCAGAAGTTGTTTTTCTGGTTAAGGGTGGTCTTTTGCTACAGTTTGTCATTGTTTAGGGGGGTTCCTCAGTATTTACTATATTCTCCATATAAACTGAACGATTTTTATATCTATCATATGAGGGAACTATTAATATTTGAAAATTATTTTTGTGTGATTTGATTTAAGGCATGTATAAACTAATATTGTATGACAAAATTTTGGTTAAACAATGTATTTAAAAAAAAATACCACTAGAGTAGGCGAAAGTGAATATCAAATGCGCTATGACTCTTTTATGTTCTGTTTCCAAACGCACTGAAATTATTGATTGAATGTAACAAATCATAGTTGCTAGTTTTTGAAATATGTTCAGTATTTATCAAGGTATAACTTTGTGGTTACAAGTAAAATTGTTACATGATGTATGTTTATTTGGAGCTAACATTAATTATAAATGACAGAATAAGAACGCATTGAAAGAAATATAGAATTGTAAAATAATTTATAAAATATATTTTGCATTTTTTAAATGGGTAATTGTATACTCCCAAATCAATCATTTCAAGCAAATAAATAATAATTAAAAAAACACCGTATTCGAACCTAAAACGCTACGTATAATATATGTGACACAGTTCCAGCGAATAACCAATGTAGCTAACCGAGACAGTAAGCATAGTGTTTTTAAATTGTTATTTAACGTCAAAGTTCAATACTACGAAAGCCGGATAGGCTCATTTCACGAAAAGATAAAAAAAAAATAATTAAGTCGTTATAACGAGTTAATTGTCTCGTCATAACGACTTAGTTATCTCGTTATAACGAGTTAGTATCTCGTTATAACGAGTTAATTATCTCGTTATAACGAGTTCATTATCTCGTTATAACGACTTAGTTTTATCTCGTTATTACGAATTACTTATCTCGTTATAACGAGTTAGTATCTCGCTATAACGAGTTAGTTTTCTCGTTATAACGAGTAAATTATCTCGTTATAACGAATTAGTCATTTCGTTATAACGAGTTAGTTATCTCGTTATAACGAGTTAGTTTTCTCGTTTTAACGAATTAGTTATTTCGTTATAATGAGTTAGTTTTCTCGTTATAACGAGTTAATTATCTCGTTATAACGAGTTAGTTTTCTCGTTATAACGAGTTAATTATCTCGTTATAACGAGTTAGTTATTTCGTTATAACGAGTTAATTATCTCGTTATAACGAATTAGTTATCTCGTTATAACGAGTTAATTAACTCGTTATAACGAGATAATTATCTCGTTATAACGAAATAATAAGTTTCCCCTTTATTTCCAATTTTAAAAGCAATATAGGAATTAAAAATGGCTGTTGTTTTAAGCCATTGAAGTTTATTTGATAATTATCAGTCGTACTTAACTTTAAAATTGATATAAAGTTGCAAATTTAATTTATACGTGAACGTTTCCAAGGACAAATTGCCAAATGTACCTGCTTCAAAGGTTGGCAATTTATGTTATGACAAATTTCTCCGATAAAAAACACTATTTCTTATATGGTTTGGATGACTTATTAGCTTTCATAATCAATGTCTAAGAACCTTAATTAATACATTATAATAGCAAGTTATCGAAGGCATTAATGCAACATATATTATATACACTTAGAGTGTGATATATATTATTTGAGTGTCAGAAATGTTTTGAAGGAGGGGGATATGGAGATATCAGCAGTAAGGTCATAGGCGTAAAATTCGGGTGGTACTGCCAACACAACATCACGAGGCAGTCATAAGTTTCCGTATACATGTATTTGTCTTCGGTCTTTAAAGTATACAATACAAATCAACTGCATCGTTTATACATAAACGAACTACAATCAAAGGCACAACCCCTCGAAAAACATAAAAAAAAACTAGTTTGCTGTTTTTCAATAAAATCTTTATCACACTTTAAGCAAACTTGATCGACTCGGTTTTATATGCTTTTTTTCCTATCATTTAGATATATCAACTTTAGACCAGTGTTTAACTCGTTATAAAGAGAAAATCAACTCGTTATAACGAGAAAAATAAGAAGTAGTTTGTTGTCGCAAATCCACACTCCACTGCCCGTGTAGTATACCTTATAATCCGTAAACAAAGAAGGGCAACTCTTCTGTTTTGAAATGTATGGAGAATGCATCGTGTCATAATTAAATGTTTAAAAGAATATGTCCAAGTGTATATCTATGTTTTTGAAAAGATCGAAGGACAGTATTTAAATGAACAATCACAAACAATGAAAATGCCTGAAATCAATCTGAAATTTTAATTTGAAAGGTTATTTGAAAATCAACTCGTTATATACTTAATATTTATTATTAACAGCAATTTTTGTTGTTTCGCAAATCCACACTCCAATGCCCGTGTAGTATACACATATATTTATATACATATATAAACATGAAAGGAAACAAAAGGTGATATTAATTAAGCTAGCAATAATTCAACCGACCATCAAAAAATTTGACTACTAGGTAGAAACACGTATCAAATCTTAACAATTCAAATGTATGTTTGGCAGTATAATGAAATACTTGTTTAGACCGCATCGGCGTGTCGTCTTTTGCAGTATAAACACTGTAAATTGCATCAAGTTGCTGATGAATGTCAGTTTTTATAGCTAAGCGGGGCTATTCCACCCTCCCTACACATTAAACAACGTGATTTTAGCAGTAAAACAGGATCATTTTAACTGCTCAATACATATTACGAAAATATTTGTAATTTAAAAAGGCTATGTTTAATGTAACGAAAGCTCAAATCGTCTACATTCTATGTACAGGTAAGCAAACAAATTTTACCTCTGGTGTTAAATGAAACAGCGTAATCGAGACATGGTGACCTAATTCGTTTCTCTATAGTGGAAACGATTATCCCTAATTTAGCGTTTGTACCATACATGGTAGAATAAAAAAAGTCCTTGTTGTCGTGAAAAAAATAACCTTTGGTCTCAATGATATATATGTTGTTTGAAATATAAAAGCCTCGGCTAGCGCCTCGTCTTTTACATCTTTAATTTAAATTTATTATCGACCTAGGTTTAGGTTATTTTTGTAACCTGATACAAACTTTGCCGGCACTTGGTACATTGATTAAATCCGTAAACAAAGAAGGGCATATTTCAATTCTAAATGTTTTGAAATGTATGGAGAATGCATCGTGTCATAATTAAATGTTTAAAAGAATATGTCCAAGTGTATATCTATGTTTTTGAGAAGATCGAAGGACAGTATTTAAATGAACAATCACAAACAATGAAAATGCCTGAAATCAATCTGAAATTTTGATTTGAAAGGTTATTTGCTTTCTGAACTACAGGTTACTATATACTTGATATTTATTATTAACAGCAATTTTTGTTAGGGAATTTCAAGAAATTCTCTCAAAAACCTGTTAATGGTACGTGAGGTACATACACATATAAACATAATTATATACATATATAAATAAAGAGGGGCAAACAAAAGGTGATATTAATTAAGCTAGCTAAAGACAACCGACCATACTATTGATTTGACTACTAGTAATAAATGTATACATATTTTTTTTTCAAAGAATCGACATCATTTGGGCAAATGGTTTCACAAAACGTATTTGGATTAAAACATTTAAATTTTTAGATCAAATAATCCATCCTCAATTGCTTTAAAGCACTGCCTTCTAAAAATAATGATATTCATCTACTATCTGATTACCAGTGTTAAATATTTTGGCACTCAAAATTGTTTTAAAAATTCTATAATTTAAACAGGGAAGGGAATACAGTGCCGGAAGATTATCAATTAGATTTGAAAAAAAAATAACTTAGTCTGTAAATAATATTTTGAGATATATTTATATATGTACGGTTTTGGTTTGATAAGTAAAAGATACACAGGTATACTAGACTGCGTATCTATATTAAAACACACAACTCCCAAATATAGTTTCATGTGAATGTTTATTAAATGGCTCCAATAAAAAGGAAGTGAAGTTTATTTACATGTATATAAAATTGCTATTGAGTCCCATATGTTTGACTGGATATATAGAACACAACATAAATCCAATCTACCGTGCAGAGCTGACGTTCCTTCCTCTCTAAAACATTTCTGCGATCTTCTCACTTGAAGATTTTTGACATAACGTGAAAAACATGACATTCCAAGGAACTTTTTTTTTCAAATTTGGATTATAGTTAGATATGTAAATATATACATTAAAAGAAAAAACATTATTGCAGGCATTTTATTTCAATGAATTAAAACAAATGCACTTTTTCTAGTCGGTGCTTATCACTTTGCATGCCAACAACAGAGGTGAATGTATGAGGCGATATGGAAGAGAGGAGCATCGATCCCCATGCAAATAATGTCACTTCCGCGTTTTGCAAAGTTTCCGTTTCGCACAGCATTAAATCACTCACCCACACGTACACAGAATTTTGTTCTATATTGTGGAATCACTCAGTTTCTTTGGGGTTTAATTTTCGTTGTTTTCGAGGTATGAATAGACCCACGAATTCATGCCCAGAACGTAAATTTTCATACATGTTTTAAAAAAACAAATATGAACTCTGTTTTTGCAATTTATTATTGATTAGGAAGATGTTATTTTTTCAAATATTAAATACCGGTACTTTTTTGGCTTTTAAGGTTTTTTAAAAGTCTGACATGGCGTTATCTTAGTCATGTAATACGCTGTACTGCTTGTCAATTTTGTCCATTAGATATTCGATAAAAACACTGTCAGTACGACCTACATGTGTGTTCAAAGGAGCAGTTTCCAGTTCTTTGAAAAGAAATATGTAAACGATGTATATTTGATTAACTAGGAATGAATTAGAATGATTAGGCGTACAACTAAAAAAGGTGTTGACATTACGAGACAATCTTTCACCGTTAGAGATCATCTTTTGATTTTTCCCCTATTTTTATTAAAAAGTTTATCCATCATTGAAATGAAGTTGATGTGATCAAAAGGCGTCCGTCATCAGTCTACCAATAAACAATTTTTTGGTATATTATTACTGGTACGGTTTTATTTGGAAAAAAGGCAGCTACATTAAAAGACATCACTCCACAGTGATCCATGTTAGTGTCAATGAATAGCCCTGGAAAAAGTTGTGAGTGTATCTAAAGGTCGGTACACACGGTAAGGCTTGCCTTATAAGTCTTGGAACTTAATTTCTAGCCTTACCGTGTGTACACCCTTAATACACGTTTTTCCGAGCCTTACAAGGCTGACTTACGAATAGAGCACTGCTCTATTTCTTAATACAAGATTTAGCTGACCTTGCAACGTTAACCAATAAAAATCAATCACCCGAGTGTCAATCTATTTTTATCAAACCGAACACGTGGGTATATTTGGTGTATTCGAAAGAAATGGCCGTCTTTACAAACGAGGTCGTGGATAAACTAGTGAGCTTTTGGGAAGATGAGGAAAGTCTGTGGAATGTTTGTAGTGAAGATTACCACAAAAAAGATTCCAGGAACATATCTCTCAATAGAATTCAAGAAAATCTTAAAAAAGACACGGGCACGGACTTTACAGGTGTGCATTTTTTTATTTACACTTTCTTCTTTCCATTTCAAGATTTTCAATTCAAAGAGAGCATATGGGACAGGTGATGATACTCATAATGATACTGTGGACAAATTAAATTGATTAAATGTCTTTAAATTTTCTAAATTAAGAACCCTCTCTTCTCTGCACACTAAAGAGTTCTGATTCTAAGGTATCTTTCTGCAGCTAGAAATAAATTCTAAAAAAAAAAAAAAAGAAATATAAAACATATTACTCAATTTGAATTGAAAGAAAAGGTGAGCAAGCTCATATACCCCATGCTCCCCCAAAACTCAAAGAGCTGAAAATCCCGGAAAAAATAAAGGATTGAATCAGAATTTCCCCATTAATATGCACATCTACACATTCTTTTCAAAATATCTGCAAAGTTTAATGAAATTCTGTGCAGCGGTTTAAGAGGAGTTGAGCTGACAAAAAAAAAAAAGCAGGACTGACGGACTGACTGACTGACGGACGGGTCAAAAACATTATACCTCACGCGACTTGTTGCACGGAGTATAATTAATTAAAGTATTCTTTACATTTTAAAAGGCCAAGATTAATTAACTAAACGTGTTATTTATATGTATTTTCTTTACTGAACATATATTGAAGTAATTAACAGTGATTTCTTTTCACTGACACTGTGTTGTCTTTGAACATTTTTCCCAGGGGTAAATGCATGCCACGCACCATACCGTGAAATTAGATAAATAATTTCAACAGTAACTTCATACGATATATTTTTCTCAATGTCCGAAAAAAATGCACTTGTTTAGAGAGGGTCCTTCATTGAGGAAAGCAATAGATGTGAATAAAAGATCCATATAAAGAATCCACTTAACTCTAGTTGAGAGAGAGAGAGAGAGAGAGAGAGAGAGAGAGAACGAGAATCAGAATGCTTTATTATACCCCCCGCTTGAAAAGCGGGAGGGTATATAGTAATCGTTAATTCCGTCCGTCTGTCCGTCCGTCTGTTACGCTTTGGGGTACCCATCTCTTATCCGCAACTCCTCTCATACCACTGAATGAAATTTGATGCAACTTTCACAGAATCTTTATTACATATTGCCATCGTGCACCTCCTATTTTACTTTTTGATCCGACACATATTTTGGGTTTCCCGGCCACAGGAAAACATGGACTTAATTTTTCGCCAGTTATAACCATATGGGAGGCGGGGCCGCGGGGGGTATCATTTAGTGAGCTCATCGCTCACAGTATCTCTAGTTTGTTTTAATATGAATAATCTTTTTTAAAGTTGTGTCATAATCATGGTTTGAAACACTTAAAATCTTTTGTTAAATTTCTTTATTACAGTCACCCAAATTAATTGCAAGCTACAAAGCCTGAGATGTTACTATGCCAAAGAATTAAAAAAATGAGGTCAAGCAAAAAAAGCGGATCTGGAATTAGTGATGTATACACTTCAAAGTGGCCATTTTTTGCAACCTTGGACAGCTTCCTTAGAGAACAAATCACTCCAAGACAATCGATGAGCACATTGGTAACAATTATTTATTAACCATATCTCATAAAATTATATATATATATATTCAATTTGTCTTATCCCACTGCCAGGTCACTTGTCCGTTTGTGAAGAAATAATCGCAAAACTCGTCACGAATTTCCCTTGTCCCAATACTTGTTCTGTTTCCACCTTGACTTGACAAAGCAATGAAATTACCCTGGGGAGTTGGACCCCTACGCCAATCCCCTTGGATAATACTGATTTTTTCAAAATCCTCACAGTCCATACTTCCTGTGGGCATATATACATCCTGGGACTTTGCTCTTAAAAAATTATGAAGTGCACATGCTGCTAATACAATGCCTTCAACTTTTTCAATTTCTAGTGCAATAGGTGTCTGGAAAATTGCAAACCTGTTCGAAAGTATACCAAACACATTTTCTACAATACGACGCGCTCTAGAGAGTCTATAGTTAAAGATTTGCTTGGCCGGATCATCAAGTTGTCGTGATGGATAGGGTTTCAGTAAATAGGGTTTCAGGGGGAAAGCCTCATCACCAACAATAATATACGGTATATCATTCCGACGTCCTGGCAGTGGCTTTGGTGGTGGTAGAGACATGGTAGAATTTTCTAGGCGTTCATGAAGTGAGCATCTCGCAAAAATACCCCCGTCACTAATTCTTCCATTGCAGCCAATATCTATGTAAATAAAATTATAATCGGCATCAACAACAGCCATTAAAACTATACTATAGAACCCTTTGTAATTATAAAAGCGGGATCCGCTCCCCACAGGATTTCTTATGGTAATGTGCTTCCCATCAATTGCCCCTATGCAATTCGGAAAGTTCCATTTCATTTCAAAATCATTTGCAATACGTTCCCATTCTTCTGGGGTTGATGGTACCTAAAAAATAGAAAAAACTGACAAAGATTGTTTTGTAGGATACAAGCAATACCTCCCAAAGAAATGATGAAGAGGATGAGAAAAGTGATGACAAAGAACTGGAAACCATGAATTCAAAAAAGAAGAAAAGAAACTTGCCTGAGGAAGTAATGGAGAAGGCCGTTTCTGCTCTGTCGAGCATTCAAGCGCGGAAAATAGAGAGTGATGATGAGGACACTGTTTTTGCAAAACTTATTGCGAATGAGCTCAGAAAAATTAAGGATCCCAGAAAAAAATCTTTGTTAAAAATTAAAATTCAACAATTGATTTTTGATGCACAATTCAGCAATGTTACTTCTTCAAATTTAGCATCTTTGAGTTCATGCAATTCTTCCACAAATACAATAAATCCATTAACTCAGATGACTGCATTAATGGCCACAGAATTTGATCAATAAAGAAATGATTGTACTTGATTTAAATTTTTCTTATGTAAGAAGTGTAATTGTTTTTGTTGTTTTTTTTTCTCCTTGGCACAGGCCAGGGGAAGTATAGATATTTTATCCAAGTAGAACAACAGTTATTGAATAGCTGTGAAATCCTTAATTTTTCAAATTATATTTCCTTCCAGCTACATACGACTGTGTACACTCATAAAGAAACACTTACTTTCAAATATCTTTCCTTTAAAACATTATAAATGGCTGTACATGTTTCAGGAATTATAGTAGACAAAGTCTGCTTTGGGATTCTGTACAAGTACTCGAGAGATTGATAAGTGTCACCTGCAATATAATATCAAGAGATTTATCATTTAATTTCTTCCAAATACCCGTAGAAAAAAATTTACAGATTCATTCTCTGTTTAGGCGATTTTCGGACCTACAGGCTAAAAAAATTATTTTTTTTATCCTTAAAAAAACCCTCATAATCCAATTTATTAATAAATGTTGTGTAGTCAAGACCTGTATATAGGTCCTTGGTTTAGTTAATGATTCTGTAGTATTTATGATGATATAGGATAACAAGTGATGAATTAGCTATAGTATCGACCAGTATTAGCATTAGGGCTATGGGAAACTAGAGAGGTTAGGTGCGTATTAAAGAAAGGTAGGCACGCAAAATTTGTATTTTATATTTTAAAAAGTGACCATTAGCTTATGAACTACGGGGTAATGATATCTAACTTCCATTTTAACGGTAATTGTACAAAAAAATTCTTATAATGGAGACTATTGCCTTATTCAAATTATTACATATTTAAAATTCCATTTACAGTACAATATCTTATTTATAAAGGAGAAAAAATATAAATTAAAATCAATTTCTAAAAATGTGATCGATATTTAATTCACATCGTTTATTGCCCAATCTGGAATGAGACTCTTCGATACCTTGTCTTATACGGACATATTGATGCAAAATGAATCACGCATTTAAACATTATTTAAAGTTTTTTTTGTCTTTATTTGATCGCCATATTTAGTCTTAAAATCACATAACTAATGTGATCAATGTTGAAAAAATAAACACAAAAGTTATTAAAAAAGGGATTAAATTCATATTTATAAATCATATACTTCATCGTAGCAAAGCGGCCTTACAGACAATCATTCTCTGTAGCACGTTAAAAGTATCTTTATACATAGTTTAACAATATTGGTACATTGGTATATTTTCTTTAAGAAATGCTGCACATTTTAATTTAGAGATGGAGCATTTTATGAAACATATGTAAAATATTTAACCTGTTGCAAGAAACCTTAATGTGATGGAGAGTCTTTCTGCTGGCGGAATGGCATCTCTCATGACTGTGTTTCGTCTCTTTATGTGTGGAGTTACTAAATGTAATAGCTCCATAAATGAGTCTTCATCCATGCGGAGGAAGTTTCTGAAGGCACTGGGATCTTCTAAGCTTAGTTCCTGCAAAAGTGCATTATGTGCACCATGAAGAGATCTTCTCTGTATCCAGGGGCGCGTCCAAACGCGTCTATTCAACCTTTTCCTTTTTTTAAGGAGCACGAATGCAGTTGCAAGTAAAACTACTGCTACTGCACCAGTAGCTTCGTCTTCCATTTTGAAAATTTATGGATTGTTTTGGACTAAAAACACGTGGAATTTATGATAATGTTGTTTATAATCTTATAAGGTTTGCCTTAGCGTGTGTACAGGACAGCCGTACGGCTTGCAAAACTTAAGTTTTTAGACTTATGAGGCAAACCTTACCGTGTGTACCGGCCCTAACATTGATAGGTTCAGAACTTATAGTATTGTTCAATACTTCTGACTGGTAAAGAATGTAGAGTATGCATAAATATGAACGCGTACAGGGTACAAGTAAATAAATTCGGCACCTGAAAATTAAGCGAATTTGTTTTTTAAAATTGGCTGATCAACAAAGTAAAACTTCGGAGTAATTAAAATTTAATTAACAACTTATTTGCAGTACACAATTAATAATCATTTCTTTTTCATGTATGAAAATTAGATATAAGAAACAAGATACAAAATTCTATATTTTATTAGTCTAATTTGGGTCCATTTATACTCCTCTGAGGAGAAACAAATATTTAGAAACAAACAAAAACAAAAGGAAGGAGGGTCCAAATGATGCAAGCCCGATCTTATATACATGTACATGTGTTTTGATGAGAACAATCATTTTTTTTTATTCATACAAAATTCTATTCACAAAGTGAATGGGATTGGACAGCAGGCAAGGCCTATTTTAGCCCTCTCCCTACAAGGTCAAGATGAACACACACAATATATAGGTATGAAACTTTTAATAGAGAACAGTCTTTAATTGTACATGTATATTGATTGTTAAATGCATGTATACAAGAAAATGTACATATTGAATATGCTATATTTTATGATAATGGTATGGTCATATTTCAATTCCTTGCTGAATGTACTCTTATATACAAATATACATGTTTTCCGCAAAATTCAATATCATTGCATATTCACAAAACTTGTTTTCCAATAAATGCAGTTTCAGAGGAGATTGTGTTACATTTATAGGAAAATAAAAATACACCTAAGTTCTTTTTTCTATATTGACTATTGAAATGGGGAAATAGGGTGTTAGTGAATGAATTGATGTATCTATTCTTAAGCCATTTTTGCATAAGCGAATCTAGTTCTTCATGTTCCTCGCAAGGGAATGCAGTGTATATCCTATGTACCAATAAAAAGATAAATATACATGTATATACCTAATGTCTGCGATCCCTTTTTTTCTGGGACCAATTCTAATAAATCTTCAATGATTTTGATAGTTTTTAAACAGGAGTGAATTAAAATCATTACGACAGCTTCTGAACAATATTCAATTGTGCAGATACTTTAAACAAGAAGCTCACGGGCCTTACAGGTCACCTGAATAGAAAGTATGGTACGTGCACTAATGAATAGTTCCTTTTGATTGTGCTTTTGTATAAGATCTTTTTTTATTACGAAAGACCATGCATTAACCATGCATTTAACGTAGATAATTAAATGAAAATACACAAATTCCTATAAAAAAGGTGTTTCATCGGCAAAAATTTAATAAGGTACAGTAAAAATTGTGGCATCACGTGAACTCAACCACTATTAAAAGAACTGGCTTGTTATGAGAGCTAGCGCTCCAACCAACTGAGCTACGCTGACATTAATGTACATACACGTAAATTGAATCAGGTTTCCAAAAATAGTTTTCCTATTTTTTGCATCTTTTTTAGTGAAATTCGATCCTAGGTAATCATAAAGGAATCACCTTCAAATCTTATTCTAAATTATTTAAGGAATGACTCTAATTCTTGGCCAGATTATCGAGTATAATATGGTTTGGGTCAGTTTACGCTTTATAATCCGCGAAGCGGATTATAAAAAAGCGTAAACTAACGCAAACCATATTATACTCGATAATCTGGCCAAGAATTAAGTCATTCCTTATAATTTAATTTTAAAATAATTAAACAACTGGGGATGTACAATTGTGTTGTTTTTATTAGTTCAAATTTACCGCGCAATAATACAACCGTAGTAACGGAAGTGATGGGAAGCAAGGGGAGGTAAAAACTGATACATAGATCTAGCAGCCATGATGCTTGTTTACATGAGGTAAGATCGAGCAACTGTTTGAAGTTAAAGGTTCATTCATTAAATCTGGAATTTTTCATGAATCCGAAGGACTGGAAATGAGGGGATTGATGGATACAGATGATTCAGCTGGTTGTCAAGGGGGTGTGTCCCCATACCAAACCAGATTATACAAAATGTTATGCGTTCCTTTTTGGAAATCAACCAATGAGAGACAAGAATACAAACAGAATTAAATTATTTCTTAGAACAGATTCAAAATATAATTCAATATTTTGGAGCACATTTCCCTGAAGGACTTCCAGGTCTAATTTCAAGCAAAAATCGATGTTTAAATGAAGAAAATTCTGTTTCGGCCGATTTTGAATGCGAATGAATCACATTTTGACCCAATACGTAAATTTTAAAATCTAATCATATGAAAGGTAGAATTAATCAAAGGAAAATTGATATTGAAATGTGACTCCTTCCAAAAATCGTTCTCCTTTTGCTCATTTTTTATTACAAAGAAAACTTTCTTTCGAGGAGTAATGTTAATGAAAATTGGAGTAACTAATGGAGGTACTACGTTGACCAAAAACTTCAATGAACTAATTTTTTGGGAGAAGAATGAAAGTATCATTTCGAAAATAAAATAAATTGATAAAAACATCACATCCATCTCAATCATCACATCCACCTCAATCACCACATCCGCATCCTCCACCGCAGCCACCTCCACCGCCTCCGCACCCACTGCCACCACCACATCCACCACAGCCACCACAACCACCACAACCGCCGCAGTCGCCATTCCCATCATCTGCACCACAACCAACATCACCTCCGCCGCCAAAATCACCTCCATCTGAATCAATGATACAGTCACCTTGCTCAAATCCTACATCAGTATTATCACAATCAATGCCCTTAGAACAACAGCCAGCACAAACATTAGCACCATACGTATGATACATGTAGTGATTTGAGGGTGTTTGATGCAGAAGACCGGCTGCCTGCATAAATGACAAATCTTCACCTGGAAGTCCTCTAATTTTTCGTCTCCTTCTTGATGTTACTTTTGGTTTTAGAACCATACCAGGTTGCCAGTTAGAAGGACGAGGCACACAGAGTACGTGAAGAAGAGCAATGGAAAATGACAGGGCAACATAGTTCAGAACTTGTCCCGAAGCTTTCGTACTGCAAGTGATTGAGCCTCTCTTGAAGTCTAACTGAAGTCCCTCAAACTCTACTGGTTGGTATTCTGAAAGATTTATTACTGCCTTTTGGAGAGGACCTTTATAATCCACTCTAAAAACTTTTACTTGCAAATGGCCTGGATCTCCTCTTCTGACTGAAAAGAAAAGAAGTTTTGACCACACCGAATTTATAAAAAACAAATCTCTCTCTCTCTCTCTCTCTCTCTACTACAAACTAGAACTGTCCAATAGGGACAAATACCCCCGCTGGGTTTTTCAGAGAAGGTGCCAATTCAAAAAATACTTTATGGATCTAGAGGTGTTCACTATTTACTTACAAAAATTTGCAGTAAAATATAAGTGCTCATTATGTTTCTTAATGAGTGAAACAAAAGTGCAACCAAATGAAACATCAATACTAATACATTGTAATTCAATCTTAAACATTTTTTTTTATTTCTGCATTAAAGAAATATATTGCAATTATGTGTCATGACACTCTGCAAACTAATTATTGAAAAAAAAATCATTATACAAAATCAAATTAATCTTGATATATCAAATTCATTTTGAAAATAAAAAGCTGGTCATCCAGTAATGAAGTGCTTTGACAGACAATAAATTACAATTAAGAGAATAAGAGAAGAGAGATCTTTAATTCTTGTGCCTTATTCCCTGGAGATTTGATAACACACACACACTTGATAAGAGATATGCCTTAACAACCTCCAACACCAAGCTCATTAATTTATCTTTAACTGGATGCATGTCCAGTCATTATTCCCAAGAGACAAATGAATTTACATTATCTTCTGTGTAATGTAAAAACTGTTTTAAACACTTGATGATGTTTCTTTTTTTTAGTTTTAATGAGTCAATTGATTTAGCTGTACTAGTTCACATTTTTGTACAGATATTCTAGATTCTATCTCTCAAACCTTATAAATGAGCCCAAAATGAACAAGTCAATTTAAATAAAAAGTAAAACCTGTAAAATGCAGAAAAATAAACAAATAAAGTTGAAAATTCCAGGTGCACACCTTCATATGGTGAATAATAAGTGTGCAAATGTTCAGATAAATCCTTGCAATAGTTTGTGAGAAACGGTCTGCACAAGACCACAAAATAAAAATGAAAAAACACCTGTAAAATTCAAAATAATCATCCAATCAAGATGAAAATATATACATATATATATAATATATGTGTATAAATTTTCATAAATATAATAGTTTTTGAGAAATCGTCCGGACAAATCTCGTCTACAGACAGACAGACAGACAGACGGACAGACGACATGGTGATTCCAATATACCCCCCCCTAAACTTCGTTTGCGGGGGGTATAATCATGGGAGATTATTTTTATCCCATGTTTAATAGAACCGATGTTTTTCACTGTTTTTATATAAGGACTACACTTTATTTACTTCATCACGCAAACGCAAAAACCATTAATTGCCACGTCATAACTGCACTTAACTGTGGGATACGAAAACGATATCACATGAGCTATATCAACGGGATAAAGGGATAAGCATGGGATAAATAGATACTGTAAAGGCACAAATATTCGTGGGAGTTAAATTTCGTTTATTTCGTTCTTACTAATTATAAACGAAATTAAATTCCACACGAAATTTTACACGAATATACAGTAAAACTCTTTTAGTACGAACACAGATATTGCGAATTTACAGATATAACGAATTCATGGTGGATACCAAGCTATATAAATTTAATGAATTTCTTATACGGTTATAACGAATTACGGATATAACGAAGTAATATTATAGATCTCAGCGACTTCGTTATAACCGAGTTTTGCTGTATATTGAATAGGATTACTTTCAAAACGACGAAATTAAATGCCCATGAAACTATTTTTGATGACAAATCAGCGAAATTTTATCCCCAGGAAAATTTGTGCTTCTACAGTATGTTGTAAGTCGTTTTAATTCCATGGTGTCAAAATTTCAAGATTTCTCAAAAAGTACCATTAGCGACTGTTTTAATTTCACGCTGCAAGAAATTTCTTAAAAGCATTTAAACATCTTTAAACAGGTCTGGATGATTTCCAAATATGGAAGTCAAGAATGATAACTGAAAGTTGCTATAAATATACATCATGTACACGTAAATATTTTTCTATCTAATCAGACAGCAGTATTTTTACGCGCCCCAAAACATATTTCAAAGGAACAAAAAGAGAACACGTCCTTTTGTTTTTTCTTCAAAAAGATTTTTTTGACAAAAATATTTAGACGTAAGATGACAGGTTTGGAAGAATAAGGTATTCCCCACATATTTACCGTGAACAAACTTGACATTTTCATCTTGAAAATGAAAATATTAAATACATGCGTGTAACAATGCGATAGTTTACGGAGGAATAGATCATACCGTCAAGTTATTATCAACTATAATTTTATCATTTTCATAAGATATACTATTTGTCAGTAACAATAATTTCCTTAACTGTCCGATTTTCAGCGATATCGCGTAGTATAGTTCTATTGCATACATGTGTTCATTGTGTAGACTAAAAGTAGTTATAAAATATCACGGGTTTCACGTGCACTGCATACAATCATGTTATAAACACTTTAAATGGACATTCACTGTAAGGAAACGCGTAAAACGTCGAGAAAAGCAATGTAGATTAACGCTCTTTCACCATAACTTACCATGCATACCAGAAACTGCACGATTTTGTAATAAATACTCAGGAAATAATTAAAATATTAAAAACATTCCCATCTGAAAACATTTTCATACCAGGTTCTAATAACTGAAAATCTGCTGCATTTATGTCAATTTTTTAACACAAGATAAACTTTTGGGATAGCTACCTCGTATTGACATATTTTTAATCCCACTTAGAATTTTTTCCAACCTTTCAAGTTGTGTTTTTCTTACGATAGTATTGTCATTTATGCTGTTTCATTTCTAAATATGCATATTAAACTTTACAAAAAGATTGTTGTAAAAGAATCTTTTGAGCAGAAAAGTCTAAAACCCACGTGATTTATTTATTTTCTGATGGTTTGTCTAAACGTGATGGTTTGTCAGGAGCTTCGAGGATTAGCACCTTATTTATTCTGTGTATTTATAGCAATTCACGATTATCGTTCTTGACTTCCATATTTGAAAATCGTCCAGACCTGTTAAAAACTTATGATATTATTCACGATGGGTTTAATTTCGCGGAAAAATGATTAATCGTGAACATATAGTAAAATTAAAACCATCGTGAATATTTGCCAATTTACAGTACATGTATATATAGTACCTTTTCCAGGAATCCTCCTGATAAATCCGTCCCACTTCCCCACAAGAATCAGGGAATCTCCCTCTTCAGTTTTGATTACAATAGCTCTTTCACCAGAACCTGGGTCCAACCAAATGTTTTCCGGCCCTACCTGCTTGATATATCAATTAAAGAAAATTCCGATATCTCTGAATTAATGGTCAATATACAGTTTAACGATAATAATGATATAAAAATGTACGTCTGTGTGGCATACTTTAAAAGAAGTAGAAGTCATAGAAATATTTAACAAATAAATAACAAGTGTATAAACTTCACAGGATTTGATCACGTGACCGACCCACTTCAATTCCCATTGAAGTTTATAAACTTGTTATTTATTACTTATATATACATTTGAGACAGATGATTGAATATTTTCGAATATAAATTATTGCACTAACCGTCCGTCGTAGATTTTGAAAAGTTACGCAAGGTGTTAATCGGCTTGAATGGCGGTTACGCTTCGAATTCATTAGACGTGGGATTTTATTTCTAAGGTACTATTTTGTGAAAGGCTACTTGTGATCAGTAATAGTGAACAGATTGTTGTATGGGAATATTTCTATTCGTGAAAATTGATAATCAATGCTGAAAAGACACAAGAAACACGTCCGGAGATCGATGATAAAAAGTTGTAGGAATTTCGGTCGCCAGAAAGGGATGGGTGATCCGATGGATGGAAACACTTGACCGTGTCCGTTTATTTGCAATCAAGATCAAAAACTTCTACGATTTCAATAACTAAATGCATATTTATAATGTAAACAAATCACGGGGACACTAGCGAAAGCTTACATTGAACTATGACAGCGCCGAGGTGTTTGTCAGCTGTTCGTGGCGTGATTGCAATGTATTGATGCTTTGATATTTTCCAACAGATTTAAACATTTATCGTGAGTAGAATTTGATGAAAAAATTATAGTTTATTGTGAAGATTTAACTAAAAGTGTACCCGAAAAATAAGGATAAACGTTAGAGACTGTACAGTTGAAAAAAAGTGACATAAAACTTGTAATCAAAAGCTAGTTTCTATCGGTATATTCTCCATTGTACACAGGTTAAATCGATAGCCAAAAAACTGTATAGAATACTTGTTAACGTTTTAAAATAATTATTATTCTACTTGCATATTTTGTTCATTTTTATACATGAAAAGCAAGTAGAGCAAGTCATTTTATATTAATGCACCGGTAGATATTATTGCGCCGTGTGATTAGATCCCGTATTGACCTCTGACCTCAGACAAACTTCATACAGAATTGAAGATATTTGTTCTCCGTATGTTTACATAATAGAGAGATACCACAAATGTATATATTTGTTTTTAAAACACAAATTAAAAAAGCTTGACTCGTTTCATCTTCATAATAAGATTTCTAAATTAATGTAAGTATACCTGTGTTTCCAATGGTAGTTGATCAGAACCTATAACATGCGCAACTGCAGCCATTTTGTCATGATAGAACACATGAACAACTGACGTCATAACGCTTACACTGTGTATTAAACGACAAGTAAACATAATGTTTCCATTCGGGTCTCGTAGCCTATAAAAGTACAAAACTACAATTTAAATCAAGTTAAGTACATATATTCAAAATTGCAATTAAAAGTAAAAATATAAAAGATAAAATAGACTCCATTACGAGTGCATGTCAGTACCCGAATATCCTCAAATCTCAATACAAAAATAATAAAAAAAACAATGTATAAACATATGAGTACATTACCTGTGAGAAGCCACCTGACATTTATTTTCTTTGTCAGACTTTGGCAAAGGAACAGGACCCCAAAGTTGTTCTACATTCGTTGGCATATTTGCCTCTTCGTAGATTCCTGGCTCCAAAGAAAGTACAATGTCATCTAAAATGGGTCGTAAGAAAGACCCTCTGACCAAACATTTTGCTTGTTGGAGCAATGGGCTTTTAGTCGTATGCATGCCATTCTACAGAAAAATGAGAACTACATGTAATTGCAACAGTTTATATTTTATACAGATTTGTGGATAAGCTATTCATTTGGTAACTCATATATAACAAGAGGCCAAAGAGACACATCGCTCACATGAGCAACTGACTAGGTAAAAGCCAAAATCAGTTCAGTATTGAAGGGTTTAGGATTATTGAATTCAAAGGCAGGGAAGGGGGGTGGTTGAACAAACTTAAATCTACACTTCCTAAGTGAAACATATGGAGATTATGTACAGTAATCAAGATCAAAAGTCCATAAAACAATACAAAATAGGAGCAGAGCAAGACGGATCTCCAAAACATTGAAGGTGGGATCAGGTGCAAGGAGGAGTGTGCATCCCCTGACAACCGGTTACATCCGCCAAATGCCCCCTGTCACGACCGGGAAACAACGGGAAAAGCCGTTGTCAATTCAGTGCTCAAACAATGGACCATCAATTAGTACGAAAAACATACTAATGTCATCACCTGACTCAATGACAAATTGTATCTGCTGACAAGGTCATTGTATCGACCATAGAATTTACGAAATGATGACTTTAAACGAGACTGCTGATATTCTTGATTCATCAACTTGTTTGTCAATAATCTGATTCGCTTTAGAAATTTTTCATACGTAGAGTATAATCTAATGACTTGCGTATCGAATCAGCTGAGATATATAAACTCCGTATGCAGGCGATGAAGGTAGTAAGGGAAGTTGACGATAGAAATGTTCAAGTCATCAAGTCCATCATCATCTAAGGGTGCTTTTGAATTAATTTACATGTACATCATAATAGCTTTGTTGTTTTTAACATGTTTTATTGATATAGCGTTCATATTCCTTTGTTATGGTCCACTTTAATGGCTTCTCTATTCTACTGATTGTTCAAGATTTGAACAAATTTAAATCTACATTACCTTTTGAGGCTTTTATATTAATGATCAATAATAACTTTGTTATACTTGTGAAGACATTTTTTCCGATGTATTCCAACGTAAAAATCTTTTCATCCTTTGTGGTCCACTGTACTCCCAGGGGTCACGATTGTAATCAACTTGAATCTACACTACCAGGGGATGCCCCTTCTCGACTTTCACCTTTCCTGGCTCAGAAGTTCTTGAGAAGATTTTAAAGATTTTTTTTCCTATGCATTACTATATCAAACTTTGATACCCCATTGTGGCCAAACCCTACCTCCGGGTGTCAAGATTTGAACAAATTTGAATACATGAGGATTCTTCTGCATGAAATTTATCTTTTCTAGCACGGTGGTTCTTGAGAAGATTTTTAAAAGATGCCATTTATTTATCACTAATTCATGATTATCCCCCCTTGAAAGAGGGCAAGGCCCTGCAATTGAACAAACGCGAATCTCCTTCACTAAATGATACTTTGTGGCAAGTTTGGTTTAATTGGCCCCGTGGTTTTTGAGAACAAGATAAAAATGGTAAAAGTTTACGACAACGACAACAGACAACGGACAAAATTAGATCAGAAATGCTCACTTGAGCTTTTGGCTCAGGCGAGCTAAAAGTTTAGAAAAATTGACTATTGGGAAGTTGGGAAATCGAAAGATTAAAATAAATGTGAATGTGCTTATTTTCGTTTTTATTTGTTTACACTTGATGAGAAATAAGCATTTCTACTACCTCGGTAGTTGTGAGTGTTAAATGCTGAAAATTAAAAATATTTCTAAACTAAAAAAATGTATGGAACACAGGTTGTACACAAAATAAATAAAAACAGACGTTTAAAGAATTCTTCAAGGAAGCTTATTATCAGACAAGTGAAGAGTCAAACTGTTTTCTACATTTTGTATTAGTGTACGAAATTTGGTCAATATTGCTTGAACAGTTCCTTTAAGATTGAAATCTAAAAAAGTTCGATACAGACGATAATTTAAATTCTCACAAAATTATGTATACGTTCATAAGCTTACATAAATACATCTTAAATGGTTTCTTCAAAACTAAGCAAAATGTAAATTTAAAGAGAAGGTATGTCAAAGTAGCAGTAAATTTCAAGGTCAAATATATTTTTATTTTTTATGCTGTTGAAACGTTATCATATATACTTATCAGCATATATTATGTTAGATAAAAATATTTTGAATATTCTATTTAAAACTGAGCTAAAGACTTGTTTAAAATAAATAAAGTTAATGTCAATGGAAAGGTAAAGGTAAAAAAATGTTGATGCAGTTGAAAAGCTCACATCAATATGTATTATAGTATAAAGTTGATAAAAATATTATGAATGGGTCCTTTAGAATTGACTTCAACATAAATTGATGAAATTGAGGTCATGGTTAAACGAAAAGTCAAGTAAAAAATGTTGATGCAGTTGAATTGCTTACAACAGTATGTATCAACATGTGAAGTTTGACACTAATTCAAGAAAAATGAGGTCAAGGTAAAAAAAAATCTGATGCAGTTGAATAGGTTTCATCAGCATATATCAGCATATTCATAAGTATGTATCAGCATATGTACTTTGATAAAAATATCTCGAATAGCTCCTTAAAAAACTGAGCTAACAACAAATTTAAGAAAAGCGAGGTAAAGGTCAAAGGAAAGGTTAAAGTAAAAAAAAAATGTTGATGCAGTTGAATAGCTCTCACTAGTATGTATCATCATATGGAGACGCCACCACTTGCCGGTGGAGGGCTATAAATTTTGTCCTATGCTCGGCACTCAGGGCCTTTGAGCAGTGAGGGATCTTTTTTGTGCCAGCATGGGGCCTCGGTTTATACGGTCTCATCCGAAAGACCGGTCTCCACATCCCTCAGTGGGATTCGAACCCACGACGTAAGGATTGACTCCTTACTACGCGACTCTAGAGCAGATGCTCTAACCACTGCGCCACGCGGGCATTAGAAGTAAAGAAACAACGAAAAAGCCAAGAAGAAATACGTCTGCAGTCAAGTGAGTAAATTTTCACCTCCGTTTTTCAATTTCCCCATGTATGAATTTTTCAAAACTTTTTAATTATTATTCAGATTCATCTTAATCATCTTATAGATTGATCAAAACTAAATTTTGAAACGTGTGCAATTACAGTGTGTGTAGTTACCATTTTGATGGAGAAAATATGACTGGACTATAACTACCTCAATGTCCCCTTCAATCTGGAATTCACCACCTTCCTGTAACTCAGGGCGTATGAGGTAAGGACCAAATTTTTCGTCAAACCCCCCAATATATTTCCCAATTCTGCCAAATATGCTGTATCTTGTTTCGAGCAGAAAAGTAAGTGTTGAGTCATAGGTGCCAAATGGAAACTTTATATCCTGCTGCCTCCACGTCATGTTTTTTACTTTTCCCGTCAATTTTTTAATTACATTAGATCTCCACATGGAATCTGTTTTGAGTACTTTTACCTTGATCTTTTTATCAATATTTGAGTTTGAACACGTGACTTGTATTTCATGAATAGTGACAACAGCTCTTCTTCCACACATTTTGTCGATGTCTTGCTGTGTAACGTGATAAAGTTTACCCCTTGGAGAATCGCCTCGGTACATTGCACCAAATTTAGAAAATCGTTCATGGTATGTTTCTGACCAGAGCCTTCTTGTATTTTCATCAGACACCGATAGTTTGGATCCAGGACTTCTGTCTGTCACCGTGTCATCATGAACAAGGGTACGACCAAGCAGGGCTTTTGTGACTTTTATATAATCGATCGGATGAAGTTGATGTGTGTGCCAAAGCAAATCAATATCATAACAAGGCACCAAAAATTCTTTTGGATGTAATTTCTTCAGATTTAAGTAAAATTTGTATCGTACATTAGCATCGCTTAGAAACTTGTCGTCTTTGTAATGTGGCAGATGGATGTTATAAAAGAAATCCTGCTGACGATGGACAGCTGCCAACAGATCAAAAGTAAAATGCGACTTATATTCTTTTATTGTAGGAGACACATTTCCAATTCGTATCTCCTGGCTAAGCTCAAATGTTTCAACAGCATAAGCCTGAGACCAAATCTTCTCTGTAAGTTGTTTTCCCGCTGGTGACTTCACAACAGAATGATCCAGAACTCTTCCAAACAGAGGCATGCAATCCTCTGCATACTTGTGTGGTGCTAGCATATGACAGTGCCAAACCCATTCTATGTCAATTGGTGGGTGTAAATTTTCAGGCTGCAAGGTGCTCTCATTTTGGGAAGCAACAAGTGGCAGCCAAAATTTTTCGTATCTGTAAATGGAATATTGCAGCACCGCATCGTTTCGAAGGTATTCCAAACTTTCAACTTCGATAAGAAAGTCATATTCCGCTTTTGCTGCCTCAATAAGATCCACACCAAAGTTGATATCCAATAATTCTGACATTGCTGTACTCTTTCAACTGAAAGTATAATAAAAATCAAATTATTTTTCATTAACGACACTAAACCAATTCATGTAGAACGCGGGAGGAGGGGGCAAAAGCCCCCTTTTTTCTATGGTTAAATCTTTATTTAGAAACTAGTTTCCACATTTATTGTTACAGGAAGGCCTAGCACGGACAAATTACGGGATTAAAAAAAAACTCCCTGTAATAGGATTTCGAGTCCGAATTCCTCTGCCATTGGATAAATACTTCTTTATATTAGTTTTTTCATTGCTGCTTTGAAATGTTAGGTTTATGGAAGATAACTATATTTTTTTCAAAATTATAATTTCCAAAATTAAAAAATCGGAACAATGGGATTTTATTACAGTAAAACATGCTTTCAATGAATTGTCAGAATTGGACACGTTTTCCTATGTATTGAGTGAATATTAAAATGAACTACATTAATTTCCCGTAAGAGTCAATTTATTTTATGCATTTTCTCATCAGCGTGTTCTGAAGAGTTGCAATCTGTCAGAATACCTCCTATAATTTAATAATAAATTTTTTATAACAATAAATTCAGACTGTAACTTTGGTTTTTCCTTTAGCATGTGTAGAAAGCAAAGTATTGTGGCATACAATGCAAGTCATTTGCAAAAAGTACATTACAGGCAGCTAGACGGACGACAGACAAAGGGTGATCAGAATAGCTCAATTAAGCTTTCTGCTCATCTGAGCTAATTTAAAAGCTTATTTTATTGAGATCTTGAATCAATGCTTACGCATTTCCAAGGTTACGAATTAGGTTTTCACGCACGTCACCTAACGTCAATATAATATGCTCCGTGAATCATATGACCGCAAAGTGAAATCGATGTAACTATATTTCAAAATTATAGTAAATGGACCAGACTGGCTTTTTATAAAATAATAAGCAAAAGATTAAAAATAAAGTGCCGCGCCACAGCATGATACGCCCGTCAAAAAATTACAATTTTCTTGAACAGTTTAGGTGCAAGAAAATCACATCAACCTTGATTCTAAGATTTTGATGATTTTTCCATTCCTTAAAATATTTATCCATCCCCTGTGATGTAGGCATCAATTATAATAAATATTACATCACTGATAGATTTCTGTGCTGGTTGTGTTAGACCTTGTCAAATGCCCATCATTAAATTAGTCTTAACAATTTAATCTATTCCAAATTAATTTTGAAAAAAAAGGCTGTCCATCAAATGACATATGTTATAAACTGACCAGCAGTTCTTCTGTCTAATCCCAAAAGGGCTGCTTAATCAGAGCGACTGAGACAGCTAGCCTTCCTACATTGAACTCATTAATTAATCTTTAACTGGATGCTTGTCTACTCATTATTACCAAGAGATGAATGGGTCTGCACTATCTACTATAATTCTTTAATCTATTCCAAATTAATTTTGAAAAAAAGGCTGGCCATCAAATGACATATGTTATAAACTGACCAGCAGTTCTTCTGTCTAATCCCAAAAGGGCTGCTTAATCAGAGCGACTGAGACAGCTAGCCTTCCTAAATTGAACTCATTAATTAATCTTTAACTGGATGCTTGTCTACTCATTACTACCAAGAGATGAATGGGTCTGCACTATCTACCATAATTCTTTTTTAAAAACATATAAAATACTCTCACATTTTTTTTTTGGTTGAGATTTAATGTCCGACAGGTTTTAGTATGTAATTCATATGGACATGCTGATTCAACCCCACCCCATTAAATTAGTTTTTAAATTAATAATATTACATAATATCAGATTAGTCTATTATGCAATATCAAATTAGTTTTAATTACTTTTCATCAAATTCATTTCAAAACTTAAGCTAGTCAACAAGAGCTATTCTTAATCAAACAGGCTTACCCATTTGCCCAATTCTCAAGGGATATAGATAACGCCAATACTCTGTCGGTTAGCTCCTTGCACTCAAAACCCATTAATTTCTCTCTAATTTGATATGCAATTTTCGGTTATCAAAATTCTTCTTGACCAGTGCTTGATAATTACACTCATAGGAGACATGGGATTTCTCTAACATACATTATATTTGTTTTAGATTGCTGTCAAGTATATGCTTAAAAAAATAAGTATTTTCTTGATTTAACACTTTTTTAATAAGAGCAGTGCAATACTCTTACATTATTTGGGTTGTGTAAATGAATAGTCAAAAGACATATATTTTTTTAAAAATTCACTTAGATTAAAGGTCACAGTGACCTTGAAATAGGTCGCGACACATCTTCTACCTAAGATGCATAAACTGGCGGGCCAAGTTTGATGATTGTAGGTCTTATGGTTTTCTAGTTATGGGCCGGAAAGGATTTTTCCATATTTGGCTATAACTTCTTAATTAAAGGTCAGAGCGACCTACTTTTTGTGCGCGACACACCTTCTACCCAAGATGCATCAGATGACAAAGTTTGATAAGCCTAGGCCTAGTAGTATTAAAGTTATGAGCCGGAAACGAAAAAGCTAACAGACAGACGGACAGACGGACGGACACGAAGCCTATAACATAATACGTCCCGTCTTAAGACGGGCGTATAAAAAGATAATCATACATTTGTCATTGTTCAAAGTAATATATTTTTTTCGAAATCCAATGTGTCCGCATATTTTTGCAACCTCTGTCCTATATGCTAGCTATCCTAGCAATCGAAACCCTGTCACTCAAATTTATCAGACAGGTTTAAGGATTAATCGTTTAAAATATCTTTGCACAAAAAATCCAAGGTCAAGATCAAACGAACTGTTAAGCTGGGTATTTTAATATCTTATTCTAAACATTAGACATGCTAAGTAGCTGAGACTTACTTGTTAAATATTAACTTATTTAATAAGCTCTAAAAATTATTTTGAAAAGTAAACCTATAAAATGATGTACAAGGATAACGAGGTCGTTAACCACGGGATTTTATGAAGAATATAGTGAAAAGCAATTTGCCAATTTATGAGCAAAACATTCATTCAATATTTCTTACAGATTTGGAAATATGTGACGGACGGACGGACAGTCAGACGGATAAACATTGTGTGGAGTAGTCCTGGATATAAAGATAAAAGATCTCATGTCAAAATTTATCAACTGTTATTGGTATTTGATGTTTTTTAAATCTTATACCAATTTATTAATAATTTAAAACAAGTATTCACTGACAGTACGTCAAAGGTACTCCAACTGTAAAAAGTCAGCTTTGAAGTATCATAAATATCTCAAAAAGGAAGAATTTTTAAGACGCAGGCTATTGCGTTGCATTTACATGTACACTGTACATGTATGCAGTGGCTTTATCACGAAGTTTCACATGCATTTACATGTACACTGTACATGTATGTAGTGGCTTTATCACGAAGTTTCACATGCCTGAAAAAATTAATACACTGAATTTGATTTTTTTTCTAAATAAATCTAGATTCATATAGGCAAAAATTTGCAAAAACTTAGAACTTAAAATTAATAAATGAATTGTATTTCTTTCAAAACAAATAAAAAACGTTTCTTGTCTGAAGAATATTTTATGAAGCATGATATTAAAGCGGCGGTTTCTAAATTAATGGAAAATTCATATCCATATTAGACTTAAATCAATGTGTGCATTTGTAAATAACATAGTAAACTTCTCTGATATAAAGCAATCAGAATAGCTTGATTGTCTGACGTCTTGGCGTCAGACAGTACTAGATTTAACCAGGGCTTATTTATGCAGTCGTTCCATTAATTTGTTTAGATAGTTCGATGGTGGAAATTTCGATACATCCATAATCTCCGAAGACGCATGTAGCTCGGCCAAGGAGGAAATGCGCTTTTAATCTTTTATTTGCATAAATGGGCACGTATTAAAATATTTTCTCTTAGTTGCCTAGCTCCCATTATAGTAAAAAAACTCCAATCCAACGATTATATTTTGGACGAAATTAGTTTGCTTCTTCTTGTTTCTTTTCCTACAGACTTCAGAATTCCATCCATTAATTACGTGTTAAGTAGAAAATCATTGTTACGGTACATCAGATGGTTTGAGAAACAATGTTAGCTTTCAAGAACAGCAGGGGGAATGGTCAACATGTGTAACGCCCTGCCAAGATTGTTATCGTTGTTTTACGCGCCCATTAGGTGATCAAACAACGATCTTCCCATTGATATAATTTACATACTTCATTTTATTTTGTTTGTTGAATAAAGAAATCAATAAGGTCGGCATTACTTGAACAATGCAAGAGCTTAAATTTAATGTTCCTGCTGTGTTATGTAAAATCATAAATGATAGTGGATTTGCCTCTGCACAGTTATACTTCAATCTGTTTCATAAAATATTCTTAAGACAAGAAACGTTTTTTATTTGTTTTGAAAGTAATACAATTCATTTATTAAATTTAAGCTCTAATTTTTTGCCAAATTTTTGCCTATATGAATTTTAGATTTATTTAGAAAAAAATTAAATTCAATGTATTAATTTTTTCAGGCATGTGAAACTTCGTGATGAAGTCACTACATACATGTACAGTGTACATGTAAATGCATGTGAAACTTCGTGATAAAGCCACTGCATACATGTACAGTGTACATGTAAATGCAACGCAATAGCCTGCGTCTTAAATAAGCCCTGGTTAAATCTAGTACTGTCTGACGCCAAGACATCAGACAATCAAGCTATTCTGATTGCTTTATATCAGAGAAGTGTACTATGTTATTTACAAATGCACACATTGATTTAAGTCTAATATGGATATGAATTTTCCATTAATTTAGAAACCGCCGCTTTAATATTATGCTTCATAAAATATTCTTAAGACAAGAAACGTTTTTTATTTGTTTTGAAAGAAATACAATTCATTTATTAATTTCAAGTTCTAATTTTTTGCCATATTTTTGCCTATATGAATCTAGATTTATTTAGAAAAAAAATCAAATTCAGTGTATTAATTTTTTCAGGCATGTGAAACTTCGTGATAAAGCCACTACATACATGTACAGTGTACATGTAAATGCATGTGAAA